ATCACTGCATTTCAGGTTGGTACTCTGAAGGGTTATACTCTAGAAGAAAGGGTAGACTGTAGATAGAGTTACCTTTTAAGGATTGGAGTCTAGATTTAAATTATTTCAGGCCTTAAATTTGGTTAATATGATCCATTTTTGCTAGTCTCCTAGGAGCCTATTAAAAGCAAATATAAATAATTTCTAAAAGAAGATTATATCTTCCTAGACCTCAAACTGTCTCTTTATTTTTCATGTACATTTTTCAGTACTCATTAAAAATAAACAAGTATACAAAGATTCAATACAGTGTGGCCAAAACCACAGAGACAGAACAGATAACAGAATAAGATTCATAGAGGCTCTAGATAATGGAGTTATCAGACAGAGATTAAAAGAACTATGTATTAGTATGTTCAAGGAAATAAAAGTTAAGGCTGGGAAGTTTACCAGAGAGCTAGAAATTATAAAAAAGAATAAATTGGAATTCTAAAATTGAAAAATAAGAGGCCGGCCCAGTGGCGCAAGCGGTTAAGTGCGTGTGCTCCACTGCGGTGGCCCGGGGTTCGCCAGTTCAGATCCCAGGCGCGCACCAACGCACTGCTTGGCAAGCCATGCCGTGGCAGTGTCCCATATAAAGTGGAGGAAGATGGGCACGGATATTAGCCCAGGGCCAGTCTTCCTCAGCAAAAAAAAGAGGAGGATTGACAGATGTTAGCACAGGACTGACCTGATCTCCTCACAAAAATAAAATTAAAAAATAAAAATAAAAAATAAATAAAATATAATTGAAAAGTAAAATATTTAAAATTTTAGTGCTAGTGGATGGTTTTAACAGTAAATTAGACCTAGCATTAGGGAAAATTAGTGAACTCAAAGATAGGTTATAACACAATATCCAGAATGAAACATGAAGAGATAAAAGGGTAGAAAATAAAAATAAATAAGAACAGAATGTAAGACATAAGGAATGCAGTGAGAAGGTCTATGTACGCATAATTAGAGTTTCAAAAAAGAAGAGTGAAACAATGGGGCAGAAAGTATTTGAAGAGATAATGGCTGAAAACTTTCCAAAGTGGCTAAAGATATCAAACTACATATTCAAGAAGTCCTATAAATCTCATGCAGGAAAAATACAAAGAAAACCCACCTAGTCCCATTAGACTTTTGAAAACAAAAGACAGTAGAAAAATCCTTAAAGCAGTTAAAGAAAGAAGATAGTTTGCCTTCAAAGGGGCAACAATTAGGCCAAAAGGTGATATGTCAACAGAAATAATTGACATGGAATATATGGAATGGAATGATAATTGGAGAAATGGAATGATATTCCCAAAGTGCTGAAAGAAAATAAGTGCTCATTAGTAAAAATGTTTTCCAAGAATAAAAGTAAAATAAAAATATTTTTATTTAGTCATACAGGTATTATATGTTTACATATATTTTATATGTAGAATATATATTTATATTATAAATATTTATGTAGTGAAATATTTCAGTAATTTCAGTCAAAAATTGAGATAATTTGTCACCAGCAGACCTGCAGTAAAGGAAATACTAAGAGTATATTCTTCATATGGAAGAAAAATAATCCCAGATAGGAGGAGAGATGCAGGAAGAATTTAAATGGTAAATCATTCTATAAAGCCAAATGAATACTGATGTTATGAATAATAATAATATATTTTGTGCTTTAATTATATAAAGAATGAAAAAACCTGAAGTAATAACATAAAAATGGAGGTTGAGGGGAAAATGGAGTTAATGTCTTGTGATGTCACTGCATTTTCTGGGAAGAGCTAAAAGTATGGACATATTAGACTTTGCTAAGTTGAGGATGAATGTTACAATTTCAAGGATAACTCCTAAACGGAAAGCAAGAGTATGATGAGCACCAAGCTAATGTGAGGAGAAATAGAACCATAAAAAATTAATTAATCCAGGGTACGTTATGTAAGTGGACTATGTAAAGTGAAGCATGTATATAAAAATAATGCAACAAAAGATGGCTGAAAAGCCAATAGGAAAATTAAAATGGAATTCTGAAAAAATTAAATAAAACAGTAAAAAAAAAACCAGACAAGAAAAGAGGAAACAAAGAAGAAGAGACAAATAGAAAAAAGTAAAATGGTAGACTTACGTGGAGTCATATAAATAATCGCATTAAATGTTAGTGGATTAAACACTGCAATGAAAAAGCAGAGAGTTTCAGAATTGATGAAAACACAAGGCTCACTTACGTGCTGTCTATAAGAGATGCACTTCAAATATAAACACAGCGGGGTTGAAAATAAGTGGATTGAAAAAGACATATCATGCAAACAATAAGCACGAGAAGGAGATTTGCTACGTTATGTCAGATTTCAAAATAAAATATATTCCTAGAAAGTACTGGGCCACTTTATAATGATAAAAGAGTCAATTGAACTGGATGTTATAACCATCATGAATATGTATGCATGCAATAACAGAATTAGAAAGAGAAAAATAGACAATCCCTCAACTGTATTTGGAGATTTTAAAATTCTTTTCGGCAGTCGATACAGCAGCTAGACAAAAAAATCAGCAAGGACATAGAATATACTATTAACCGTCTCGATATAATTGATATTTCCAGAAGACTGCACCCAAAAGTAGCAGAATACACCTTGTTTTCAATGCACATGGTACATTCGCTGGGATAGATCATATTCTGGATCATAAAACAATTCTTAATATATTTAGATAGATTGAAATTATACAGAATATGGTCTCTGGCCTCTGTAGGATTGATTAGAAATCAATAACAATAAGAGAGCTAGAAAAACTCCAAGTATTTGGAAATAAAACAACATACCTCTTGATAATCATTTGGTCAAAAACAAAATTCACAAGGGTCATAAAAATGTTTTTAAATGAATAATAATGAAAATAAAGCATATCAAAATTTGTAGGATATACCTAAATGAGTGCTTAGATGGAAATTTATTACCTTAAATGCCTGTATCTTAAAAGAAGAAAGTTCTCAACTCAGTAACATAAGCTTCCATCTTAAGAAACTAGAAAAGTAGAATTAAACTCAAACAGAAAGAAGGATGCAATAGAGACTATAAATCAGTGAAATAGAAAACAGAAAAATAATAGAGAATAATCAATAAACCAAAGCTAGTTCTTTGATTAAAAAAAAAAAGTTAACAGAATTAGAAAACGTCTTGGAAGGTTGTTAAAGAAAAAATGAAGAGGAAAGACACATTACTAGTACTGACCCTAGAAAACTTGAACAGCCCAATATCAGTGAATAGAATTGAGTTAGTCATTTAAAAACCTTTCTTCAAAGAAAACTCCATGTCCAGATGGCTTCACTGGTGGATTCTGTCAAACATTTAAAGAAGAAATATTTGCAATCCTACACGATTTATTTCAGAAAATAATGGAGAGAACACTTCCCAACTCATTTTATAAGGCCACTGTCACCCTTATCCGAAAAACCAGGCAAAACTATCATAAAATGAGAGAACTATAGCCCAATATACTTGTAAATATAGATGCAAAATTCGTTAACAAAATTTTGACAAATCAAATTCAAAAAATATGTAAAAAGGATAATACATCATGACCAAATGGAGTTTATCCCAAGAATTCAGTTGCATTAACATCTGAAGATCATTCAACTAAATTCACTCTATTAATAGGATAAAGGAGAAAAACTACATGGTCATTTCAACAGATGCAGAAAAAGCATTTAACAAATTCAACATCCTTTCATAACAAAAACACTCAACTGACTAGGAATAGAAGGGAACTTACTCAACTTGATTAAGGGTATCTACAAAAAAACTACAGCTTACGTACACTCAAAGGTAAAAGGCTCAGTACTTTCTAAGATCTGGAACAAAGGAAGAATGTCTGCTCTCACCACTTGTGTTTAAGATTGTACTGATGGCCTGATCTAGGGCATTATAAGGTAAGAAAAAGAAGTAAAAGGCAAACAGATTGGAAAGGAAGTAAAACTGCTCTTAATTTTAGACAACATGATTGCATCTGTAGAAAATCCAGAAAAATAAAAGCTACTAGAACTAATAAAATGAATTTAGTAAGGTGGCAGGGTACAAGGTCAACATACAAAAATCAACTGTATTTCTAAATAGTAGCATGAAAAATTAGAAATTTAAAATTTAAAACCTCCACAATAGCATAAAATAATACTTAAGAATATATCCAGTTAAATATGCCCAAGACCTTTCCACATAAAATTACAAAAAATTGCATTGGGAAATTAAAGACCTAAATAATTGGAGAGCTCTACCATGTTCATGGATTGGAAGACTTAATGTATTAAGATGGCAGTTTCCCCAAATTGATCTATAGATTTAATGTAATTTCACTCAAAATTCAAATAGACTTTGTCTTAAGAAATCGACAAGCCAATTTTAAAGTTTATATGGAAATAAATGATCCTTGATCTGATAGCGCAACTGTCAAAAAGTAAAAGCTTGATACTGCTTTTCCTGAGACTTGTTATTTAAGCTACAAACTTTATGCCTATCATTTTTTTTTAAAAAGAAACTTATCTATGATCTGGAAACAGTGAAGGTTTTGGCTTTGGAAACCTTTTTTAGAACTTCTCTTGGACCATAGTAAAGTTCTTGAGTAGGTCAATGATGGACTTACAGTGGCTAAACAAAACATTAAAAGAAGTGCAGCAAACTTATGGGGATCAATTTACTTTATAGGTGAGATGTATACAGACAGTTAAAATTTAACTGTACTTTTAAAGGATTTTAACTGAATTTTCTTATAATTCTTTTCTTCTTTGTTTTCTTTAGCATACCTCCAAATAAATGCTACTACAAACTTCAGGCCTGTAATGTAAAATGATTTTAGGATTAATTTCATCTTGGAGTAGAGTGGGAGATAGTTTTTGTGTATGTGTGTGTCTTATCCTGCAATAGACTTTATTTGTGTTGATTTCATAGTTTATCAAAGGGAAATATTTGAATCGTTTGCCACCCTCTATTAATGGGAAATTTTACTTGTTGTTATAGGGAAGAATGGACAGAAGCTATCCAGGCCGTAGCAGACAGACTTCAGAGGCAAGAAGAGGAGAGAATGAATTGTAGTCCAACTTCACAAATTGACAATATAGGGGAGGAAGAGATGGATGCTTCTACAACCCATCATAAAAGAAAGGTAGAAAATAATAACTTATTTCCCTACTCAGCACAACATTTGTGTGTGTGGAAGAAATATGCTAAAAACTGCCATTGCACAAATTGTCAGCTGATTATCTTATGATATGCAAAATATGGGTGTGGGTGGTTTTTATTCAAGTGAAGCTGAAATACCTGTTGTTGTTTAAAACCAAATAATTGTAGCATCATCTCAGTGGTTCAGCACCTAGCACTGAGTGCTGCTAGGGCTGGTTAGGGAGTTATGGCTGATGTGCCATCCAGCTACTCTATAATTTGCATTTTTACGTATTCTTTTTAATACCATTTTAGAAACTTGGAAATGAAATGTTTTCCCTAATGATTTGGTCCTTTTCCATTTGGCATTCTGTGTGCTCCTGAAAACAGAGGCACAAGTGCTCTGGTGTACTTTCCGCTAGATTCCCCCACCTCACTGATATCCGCAGGAAAGTGAACAGTCTTGGAAATTACAGCTTTTTATTTTAATGGCTGCTCCTGAGCCAATGAGGGAAACAGATTTTTTCTTCTCTCAGTGCTCCAGAATAAGAAGTGCCAATTTGTATATTTATGGGAATTGTAAATTATGTTTTTCATTGCTATAGAAAATTGAAAAGCAACTTCCTTCTGTAAAAAATGGTATTAAAAGATTAATCTAAAGGATATAGGTGTTCAAAATAGATGAACATGCCATTTTTCATGTTAGAATGTATTTGTTAGAATAGATTGTAAATTAATCTTCAGGTAGGGAAACACTAATTGTTAAGGTGATTATCTTATCCATGTAATTTGGTATTAGCACAGGGATTAAGAACTCTTTGGAGTTAGACTGCCTGAGTTCAAATCCTCCTTCTTCCATGAGCTAACTGTGTAAACTTGGTGAAGTTACACAGTCACAACCTGGCATTAGTTAATTATCCTTTCCTTATCTGAAGTTTCTATCTGAATTAGAATAATATTCTATGCTTGATCTTGGCCAAATGTCTGAGAACCCTTTGTGTCTTCCTTGAAGACGTAAGCTCTATTTGTTAGTTGAACTGAATCCCCCTTCTTCTGAGTCACCTTAACGCTCCCCCTTGTTCCTCAGTCACTGCAAAGAGAAAAAAACAGTCTAGCTTTACCCAGCTACTCAGAGATAAGAAAACTTTTGCACGTGTATGTGCACATGTACACAATTAACTTGATTTGACTATGCTCATAAATTTAAAATCAGATCCCAGTTAATCTCATCCTTTGAGTTATAAACTACACCATTCAGTAACAAGCATGCCAACTATCCCCTGTTTAATTCTGTGGAATTCCTAAAATTCTGCTTGATAACAAAGATTAATAATAAGATGCTGTAGAGGCAGTTAGAGGGTAAAAGTGGGGTCCTAACTAGAAATATTGTTACGGATGGATGAAAAATTTTGGAAATGAATGTGGAAATTTACCAGAAGAGCTTTCAGTGAAAACAGACAAACATTTTGAAAGATGTAAAAATGGAAAAGTATGGAGGATTTTACTTTTTCTGTTAAGGCTAGTTATAAATGATTGTAAAAACAATACATTTTCCTCTTTTCACAATTACTGGTGTGGATTGTCTTAGAATTCATCACCTTCAGTAATTATCACTTGTAAGCATTTATTGTGTGCTGATTTTGTGCTAGGCTCTGAGCAGTACTTTTATATGTGCTATCTCACTTAATCCTCACAAGAATCATCCTAGGTAGGTACTATTATTATCCCATTTTACAGTCGAGTCCATCTGACATTCAGGAAGTTAAATTTCTTGTTCAAGCATGTAAGGACTTTTAATTATGCACTGTACAACTTCAGTGTGCAACTTATTTCTTTTTATTGATTCATATATCTTGAGCCTCTGTAATCTCTATAGTTGTTATAATATAACCAAGTTACATTAGAAACAAAATTATGATTGTACTCTGTTTCTCAAAATATTATGTCAAACTGTTGCACTTACATGGTGTTTGGATATTAGTTAATCTCATTTAATATTAGAACATTCTTGGAGAAATTTTATTATTGCAGCATAGTGATAAAAAGTGAGGTTTTTGGAGTCTGCTGCCTGGGTTCAAGTCCTGGTTCTGCCGTGTGTGTAATTGTGGGGAAAGTTTCTTAATCTCTCTGTCCTTTAGTCCCTTCATCTATAGCGGGAGATGGCAGGTACTTAACTCAGTCATGAGGGTTAAAATGAGGGAATGTGTGTAAAGTGCTTATATGTGAAGTGCTCAGTGCATAGGAGCTATTATTGTTAGCTACTATTCTACTTCATCCACAGAAAGAAAATTAAACGAACACATATTTTTAAAGCAGATTCTCGTAGAATTCTCTCACTGAAATTGAGTCTCCAAAATGAGAAATTGATAGAGTCAGAAGTATTTTAAATTTTGAGGGATTCATTGTCTTATTTGGCCTATAGCTGACTTTCATTGATCTTTTTTATTTCATTTTAAATGAAATAGTATAAAATAGTTTTAGATAACAAAGAGTGCAGAAAAAGATGGAACATTTGTACGACTAGCTCTTCTGGAATGATCCTAATAACATGGTTAAAAGGGTGAAATATTACTCTCACTTTCCTAAGATAAAGGGCCCTAGAACTGCATCCTTTATGTGTATCAGTTGTAAAAAGAATTGCAGAAGTTCAGGTTATTTTTAATTTCAGACTGTAAACACAGATACTCTGAAAGAATATCCTTCTCCTAATTTACAGAATACATTTTCTTCTTTGTTCGCTTTTTGAAAAATGGGCAATAGGATGAAGAGAATAGCTCTTGATGATGGTCGCTGTGCTGAGCTGTCCTAACCACGCTCTCTTGCCTGCAGCAGACAGCTGGTTCCTTCCCTCGGTGGGCGAGTGTTGCCCCAGTGTCTGCTCTGCAGGTTAAAAACTCTGTTGAAGAGGGAAGGGTGTGCGTGATGGAGCAAAGAGGCAAAAGCCTTGCAGCCGGATTGAAGTGCTGTTCTGTGTTTAAATGAAAAGGTGATGTTTCAAAGGAGTCTGATTAGAGGACTCAGAAGTGCCTAGTCTTGGTCTGCCAAGCTGCCGTTCTCTGTGCCCTGTCAGGTGTGTGAAGGGCACAGCACAAAGCAGCAACAGGCAAACAAGAGTCAAAGTTCTGCTTCACTTGTAGGTGACCAGTGTAGGTCTCTCTGGGACAGCTGGTTATCATCTCATGATTTAGGTATGAAGTATAAGCAGTACCTCTTCTCCTCCCAGTAAATCTGACTCCAATTCTTGGAATTTTGTTACCTAATGCCTGGCTGCAGTAATTCAAAGTAAAGGCTGGCATGTGGAGAAAGAGAGGAGGAGGGAAGAAATGGTGGGAAATCATGGGACCTGCTGAAATCATGTGATCTCTCACAGCCTACTCAAAGTGGGGGACCGGTGTGGTCAGTGTGGTAGAAGCTGACTATCAGATTAGGGCTCCCCTTCCCTTGAGAAGGAGCACCAGAGGAGGTGGGCAGAGAGGTGAACTTCTTGGGAGCCCCCCTTTTTACTTAGTGCCCCGCGGGGCTTTATTTGGTTTAGCTATTATTGTAAATGTTTGTGGAATTTATCTTTTTTGATCAAATATGCTAAAACCTCTGTGTTCTTTTCTGAGAGGTTCCTTGTATTTGTCTTCAATTATATATTCATATTCTTTCACCTAATTTTTGGGCTAGACGATTGGTCTTTTTCTTATATTCTCATGCATGTGATTTGGATACATTCATTAAGCACTTCTTATGTATGCACATGCGTCTCTTGACGTAAAACAGCCACATTGACATGTTAGAGACTATGTAAAGGTATAACTAGTAATTATATTATGTAAAGGTATGACATAGTATAACTATGGAAAATATTTCCCTAATAAATTCTTAGGATTGGGTTTTGGAGGATTAATTTTTCTGGAGAGTATCCGTGCTCTTATTTTTAGTAAAAATCTTATTGTATCTTTTCCCTTTACACCATCCAAAAGAGGAAAATATTTTGTGATAGGTTACATTTCACTTGTAAAGACTAGATAATTACTGTGTATATGATGTTGAAGACGAGTATTTGGTATCAAAGTTACTTTTTAAATTTTCTGAAGTTTTGTCAAAATAGATATGAAATCTGTTTCTGATTTTATCACACAGAATGCTTTTTTACTAATATTAATTTTCATGCAAATTCCTTTTTCTTTTAAGGTTGACAGTCAAACTGACAGAAGCTGTGCAATTTAGAGTTAAGGCTGCATATTTGTGTGTGTGTGTGTGTGTGTGTGTGTGTGTGTGTGTGTGTGTGTGTGAGGAAGATTAGCCCTTAGCTAATATCTGTTGCCAATCCTCCTCTTTTTTGCTGAGGAAGATTGGCCCTGGGCTGACATCCATGCCCATCTTCCTCCACTTGATATGAGACACTGCCTCAGCATGGCTTGATGAGCAGTAGATAGGTCCCCGCCCATGATCCGGACCTGTGAACCCCGGGCTGCCAAAGTGGAGCACGTGAACTTAACCGCTAAGCCATTGGGCCAGCCCCAAGGCTACATACTTTTTTAAACCTCCTTGTCCCTAAGTATTACAATCCTTAAGGATATAGTAATATTTTATAGTTATATATTGCTTCTAATTTTTATCCCCAAGAATTCAGTTTCAGTTTATATGATATTTACTATTAGGACACAGCAAGTGTCATTTTCCAGTGCTTTTAGATATAAAATGAGAAAAGTACTGCTCAAATGAAGCTTTGAGCAATAAGATGACACTATGGCCTAGTTGTAAGAATAATGTCTCTCAGTTCTTTGTTGCCAGGGAATAAACTACCCAAATTTAATGTCTTAAAACAATAACGGTATACTATTTCTCATGATTTTGGGTTTGCCTGGGCAGTTCTGCTCATCTCACCTGGATCTCTCAAGCAACTGCATCTCACCTCTGGACTCTTGGGGATCTCTCTCTGCATGCGGTGTCCCATCTTCCAGGGCCTCAGGGCCTCTCTACATGGCCCCTCTCTCTAGCAGACAGCCTGGACTTCCTTACAGCATGAAGGCTGTCTTTCAAGAAGGACTTTCCAAGAGGGAGAAGGCATCAGCTGACATGCTTAAAGGGCAGGTCTGGGACTGGCACAGTGTCGCTTTGATCATAGTCTGCGTTCAAAGCAGGGCACAAGGCCAGCCCAGGGAGAGGGAGAGGTGACGCCACCGCTTCATGGGAAGAATGGCAGTGCAGACAGGGAGCGGGGCTTAGTGGCAGCCGTCTTTGGAGACTACCCAGCACAGATAGCTTGGTAGTTATATAGTATTCTTTGATTTTTAAAAATCTGTTAATTAGAATGAAATTACTTAATATTACCTATTATTTGTTCAAATGACACTCACTTTGTTAACTATATTCTGTATATTTAGTGCCATATGTTTGATTTTTAGTTGAATTAATAAATGTGCTTTCTTATTTCCCCTGATATCTTTTGCTGCTTTTCATTTGAACTAGAGAGATTATTGAATGGTTAAGACATTAAGACATTATAACTTGACATTTGGAAAAATTATCAAAATCACAGGTAGCAAATAATGTTGAAAACAAATGTAGACATTCATTTCTAAAATTTTTAGAATTTTTACATATATCTATATGAGGGATATTGGTCTGTAGTTTTCTTGTAATGTTTTTGTCTGGTTTTGGTATCGGAAGTGATGGCCTCATGGAATGAATTGGGAAGTAGTCTCTCCTTTTCAGTTTTCTGTAGGAGTTTATGTAGAATTGGTATTTCTTCCTTAAATGTTTATAGAATTCACCAGTGGAAACCATCTGGTCCTAGAGTTTTCTTTGTTGAAAGGTTTTTGACCACAAATTCAGTTTCCTCAACAGATATAGGACTATGCAGACTGTATGTTTCTTCCTGAATGACCTTTGATAGTTTGAGACCTGCAGAGGATTTGTTCCTTCCACGTAAGTTGTCGATTAGGGGAACAAAGCTGTTCATAGCATCCCCGTGGTCTGTTGAGTATCTGTAGAATCTGTAGTGATGTCAGCTCGCGCGTTCCTGACACGGGCGATGTGCGCCTTCTGTCTGTTTTCCTAAGCAGTCTGGCTAGAGGTTTATCAATTTTATTGATCTTGTCAAAGAACCAGCTTTTGATTTCACTGATTGTTCTCTACTGTTTTTTTGTCTTTTTAAAATTTAATTGCTTTCTATTCTGATCTTTATTATTTTCTTTCTCCTAATCCCTTGGATTTAATTTGTTCTTTTTCTAGATTCTTAAGGTGGAAGCTGAGGTCATTCATTTGAGATTTACTTCAGATGAGTGATAAATGGGAAAAAAAGGCACAGAAATCTTCAATAACTTCCGATTGTCTATAGGATAAAACCCAGATGCTTAACTTACTATTCATGAACCCTTTTAAACTGAATTAAAATTTAAGATGGTTAAGTGAGCATTCCCAGTTACCTTCCCTTCCATTTAAAGCCCATTAAAATGATAGTAAAGGAATTTTTTTTTTTTTTTTTTTTTTTTTTTTTTGTGTGAGGAGATCAGCCCTGAGCTAACATCTGCCAATCCTCCTCTTTTTTGCTGAGGAAGACTGGCCCTGGGCTAACATCCGTGCCCATCTTCCTCCACTTTATATGGGACACCGCCACAGCATGGCCTGACAAGTGGTGCATCAGTGCGTGCCAGGGATCCAAACCAGCGAACCCTGGGCCGCTGCAGCAGAGTGCGAGCACTTAACCGCTTGTGCCACCGGGGCAGCCCTGTAAAGGAATTTTTAAAAGGGACGAGTTGAGAAAAATGAAAAGCTGGGTAGGGGAAGGGTGTTCGTGGATGAGCAATATCAGAATTTTGGAAGTTTGTGGAAGAATGTTCATAAATAAAGCAGAGCAGGAAAAGCATACATAGACAGGGCTATGGAGAACAAGTAGCAGGTCTGCTTGGCAAAATCCTGGGAATCACCTGACTTAGGAATGGGAATGAGAAACGAAACTGGAAACAGACACACTGATTAAAGACATTCTTAGAGCCCCCTGCCTTCCTGTTTTGAGTCGCACTGACTGCTCTCCCAGCAGCTGCACTGCTGTCTGTCTTAGATCTCTTTTCATTGGCCTCCAGGATTGTTTCATCGTTTCTTACGTACAGATCTTTTACTTTCTCGGATTCTAGTCTTATTTTGCTGGAGTATGTTCTCAAATAGTTTCTTCAAAAGTGCCACTCCCTTTGGTGTATTTGGAAATGTTTGTGGAGGACCTTTTTGATAGTCACATTGTCTGAGTATCGTGGCACCACTAAATCCTTAACAACGTGGGTCCTCGAGAGTGAGTGAGAATGGTTTTATTTTCCCTTTGCCCTTATGCTTGACTGACAGTTTGACTAGTTGAGAAATTCTAGGTCAAAATTATTATCTTCAGTATCTGAGGACTGCTCAAATTATTTCCAGCGTCCATGATTGCTGATGAGACAGCCAATGCCAGTCTGATTTTTATTCACTTAAGGGTACTTAGAAATCGGTAAAATTTGCTTTTGAGTGGATTTTGCAAATATATATATATATGTTTACAAATAAATTGCATCAAATATTTCATATTGTATTTTTTAATTTGTATTTTTCAGACAATGAATGATTTTGACTATTTGAAACTACTAGGTAAAGGAACTTTTGGGAAAGTTATTTTGGTTCGAGAGAAGGCAAGTGGGAAATATTATGCTATGAAGATTCTGAAGAAAGAAGTTATTATTGCAAAGGTAATTAATTATTAGAGTTGATTACTACATTTTTGTTTACGCTGTGTACACGTGTGTGCTCATGCATGCACATGACTAAAGTGTAGAAATTCCATTAAATAACCAAAATGTTGATTGTGGGCTACTGCTGCAGTAGTATCCGTATATTAATATTTATTTATAATGTTAAATCTGTCAAAAGCTTATGATATCTGAATATTATATACTGAAGCTATTTTGAGGAGATAGAAGTATTTATTCTATGTGTGTTTGGGAGAATGTTTTCACTATATACTTGTGACCTATATCACTAATTACATTGGTGTTGCTTTTTAATATTTTCCCCCAACATTCTGAATTTCTTATTATTAAATAAGAGAGTGATTCAAATAGTGTAGATGATTTGTACCCATAAGTTATACAGCTTGTATAACGTTGAATGGAAAAGCGTCCTTAATAGATTTGAAAATACTAGAATAATGAAACTAAAAGAAATGGTACTTCGAAATTCTTTCAGGAGGCATTGACCCCCAACCCCGATAACTTTATTTAGCTTAGACCTATACAAATAATTAACTTGTTAATGATGCCAGTTCTCACTCAGTGCTCTGAGTTGAATCCTGATTCCCTCACTAGACAAATTTGATAAACTTTACAAATTGGTCCATACTTTCTGTCTAGCTGAATTCAACAAGTGACATATAATATTATTGTTATACTTTATAGACTACGTTGACTTTCAGTTATTTGCAAGTACAGCTTCCTCACGTGGAGTGTGTTGCTCCACACACCTGGTGAAGCTGTGCTCCCCCCGTCTTTGGCATTTGCTTCAGTCTCAGCTCCTTCACAAGTCACTGTCTGGTATTGGAAATAACATTGACCTTGGAGTCTTATTAGGCCTGGGTTCGTATCCCAGCTTTGCACCTTACCACCTAAGGACCTTTAACAGCCAGTCTTCTGGGGAGTACTCCTCCCTTAGGGACATTTGAAAATGTTTGTGAGGGGCATATTTGCTTATTCCAGTGACTCGGGAAGGGAAACTGCTGACAGGTACCAGCTAGAGCCCGAGCATGCCAAATGTCCTGCTGCTGTTGAACAGCCCAGCAGAGCCTTAATTTTTTCCTATGTAAAATTTCATTTGTAAGAAGAAAAAAGTTCCTGCACAGGAGTATTATGAGGATTAGGATGTGTAAAGTATTTAGCACAGTACTTGCCACTTATTATGAATTAAACTGATATTTTCTGGGAGGTAGTATAGTGTAGTAGACTCTGCCACTTACTAAAAGATCCCTAACTCATTACTCAGCTTTTTATGCCTTTGTTTCCTCATCTGCAAAATGGGGATAATAATAGTGCCCATCTCATTCAGTGTTGTCAGGGTTAAATGAATGAATAAATAAATGTAATAGCATTTGCCGTCATTATCGAATAAATTTAATTACTTATATTATTAAATAAAGTTGAATTAGAATAGTATTAAATGAAAATAAATGTTATTGTTATAAATATTTGCTACTGTTATTATTACTGTTATCATCTACTGTGTGTCAAGCATCAATAAATACCATTTTCATTCTGTTTTTCCTTTTATACGTTAGCCTCACTTGGGTCCTGTCGTATCTCATTAATTAACTATACTTTTCTGAATAACTGTACAGAACTGAGTCTATTTTACAATTGATAAAATATCCTGATTGTTGTAGTTCCTTGCTGCTTTCCCCAACAAATCCATTTATCAGTTTCTTGAAAGAAAATATCCTCATTCACAGCACAATGATTAGCAGTCTGACATTTTAGGGTCTGACCGTGCCTGGGGTTTGGATCCTGATGTGCCCTCCTCAGAGCATCGTATCAAAGAGTAAATGATGTCGGTATGTTTTATTACTGTCGACATTAATCTTGATCACTTGATTAAAGTGTTGTCTCCCTGGTTTCTCCACTGTAAAGTTACTATTTTTCCCTTTATATTTAATAAATATCTTAGAGGAAATACTCTGAGACTATGCACATGTCCTTTTTCTTCTTAAAATTTTGCCCACTAATTTTGACATCCATCAGTGGATCTTGTCTACGACAATTATTACTGTGGTGTACTAATGGAGATTTTCTATTTCCCTGATTCTTTATAGATTTATTCTAAGTCAATCTAACTAAACGTTTGTCAATTTTGTCATATATTTTGATGATCATATATTTAGATTTATTATGTACATAAATGTTTGTAATTGTTATTTCTTCTTGCTCTATTTAACCTTTTATTGATATATAATGTCCTTTTTCCCCTCTGGTAACCTTTTTAAAAAAATTTTTGTCTGATAATGGTATAGTCACCCCCACTGTCTCTTGGTTATTATTTGCAAGGAACATATTTTTCCATCCTTTCACTTTCAACATATTTATGTCTTTGGATCTAAAGTAAGTTTCTTACAGACAGCATATAGTTGGATGATATTGTTCTTTTTGGTAATCCATTCTGCCAATCTCTATCTTTTGATTAGAGAGTTTAATCCATGTAGATTTAAAGTAAATACTAACAAGGAGGGACTTCTGTCACTTTGCTATTTATTTTCTGTCTACTTTATAGTTTTTATGTCCCTCATTGTCTGCATTACTGTCTTCTTTTGTGTTTAGTTGGTTTTTTTGTAGTGAAACATTTTAATTTCCTTATATATATTGTATAGCTGTTTTCTTTGTGGCTACCATGGAGATTATAACACTCTGATTTGAATATATACCACCTTAACTTCAGTAACAGAGAAAAACTCCTTCTCTACTGCTCTTTTCCCACCCCTTTTAAGTTATTCATGCCATAAAATTACATCTTTATGCATTATGTGTCCAAAAACATAGACTAATAAATTTTTGTGTTAGCCTCTTAAGTCATGTAGAAAACAAAAAGTGCATTTACAAACCAAAGGTACATTAATACTAGCTTTTAATATTGCCCATGTATTTGCCTTTACTGGAGATCTTTATTTCTTCACACAGTTTAATTGTCTGGTGTCCTTTCCTTTCAACCTGAAGCATTTCAACTCTTCAGCATGTCTTACAGGGCATCAGTAGTGGCAGTGAACTCCCTCAGCTTTTATCTGGGAATGGCTTAATTTCTCCCTCACTTTTGAAGGACAGTTTTGCCAAATATAGGATTCTTGGTTTACCACTTTTTTCCTTCATCACTTTGAATATGTCAGCTCCCTGCCTTCTGGCATCCAAAGTTCCTGATGAGAAAGCTGCTGATAATCTTAGTGGAGATCCCTTTTTTGTGATAGATTGCTTCTCTCTTGCTACTTTCAAGATTTTTTTCTTTCTTTTTAGCTTTTTTATTTGGTGAGGAAGTCTGAGCTAACATCTGTGCCAGTCTTCCTCTATTTTGTGTGTGGGCTGCCACCACAGCATGGCTTGATGAGCGGTGCATGAGTCCATGCCTGGGATTCAGACCCACGCACGCTGGGCCAAAAGTGGAGCACACGAACTTAACCACTATGCCACTGGGCTGGCCCCTGTCTTTAGCTTTTGACAATTTGATTATAACGTGCTTTGGTGTGGGTCTCTGAGTTTATCCTTCTTAGAGTGCTCAGAGCTTCTTGGATGTTTATTTTTATGTCTTTTATCAAATTTGGTGAATTTTCAGCCATTATTTCTTCAAATGATCTCTCTACTTCTTTCTGTCCCTCTTCTCCTTCTGGAACTCCCACGATGCACATGTTGGTCCACTTGATGGTGCCCCACAGACCTTTTAGGCTCTGTTCACTTTTCTTCAACTGTTTTTTTCTTAGTCACTCAGACTCTGTAATTTCTATTGATCTGTCTTCAAGCTTGCTTATTGTTTCTTCTGCCTGCTCAAATTTGCCTTTGAATTCCTCTAGTGAATTTTTCATTTCAGTGATTGTACTTTTCAGGTCCGGTATTTCTCTGTGGTTCCTTTTTATGTTTTTTAGCTCTCTCTTTTTTTAATGCACATGTTTTGTCGTTAGATTAACCTTTGCTTCTGTCAGTCCTAATCATCCAATGGGTTACAGATGCTCTCTGATTCACTCACTCACTCACTCTCTAACTCATTCAGCAAACATCAATGGAATACCTGCTATATGCCAGGCACTGTGATTACCAGTGAGACTCCATGTTTGGCCTAAAAGAAAGCTCACAGTCTGATGGGGATGACCAGTCCATAAACAGGTCATTGTGATGCAGTGATAGGGCTACGCAAAAGTATGATGGGAACATGAAGGAGGGCCAGCAGAGGTAGCTGATAGTGGATCAGGGAAGACTTCCTGGAAGAGGTGGTTTGACCTTAGTCTCTTTTTTTCTCAATATAATTGACATGTTGTATTAGTTTCAGATGTACAATATAATGATTCAATATATGTGTATATTGTGATATGGTCATTACAGTAAGTCTAGTTAAAGTCCATCATCACACATAGTTACAACTTTTTTTCTTGTGATGAGAACTTATTAAGATTTACTCTCAAATTACACTACAGCATTATTAGCAGCTTTCACAGTACACTACACTATTATTAACTGTATTCACCATGCTGTACATTACATCCCAAGGACTTACTTATTTTATAATTGGAGTTTGTACCTATTGATCACCATCACTCATTTTGCCCCTCCCTGCCTCTGGCAACCACCAGTCTCTTCTCTATATCTATGACTTTGGGTTTTTTCTTTTTCTTTTTTTTTTTTAAATGCCACATATGAGTGAGATCTAATGGTATTTGTCTTTCTCTGTCTGACTGTTTCACTTAGCATAAGATCCATCCATGTTGTCTCACATGGCAGGATTTCCTTCTTTGATATGGCTGAATAATATTGCATTGTATGTATGTAGGTACGTGTGTGTGTGTGTATATATAACATATCACATTTTTTTAATCCATTCGTCCATTGATGGACACTTAGGTTGTTTCCATGTTGTAAATAATGCTGCAGTGAACATGGGGGTGCAGATATCTCTGAGATAGTGATTTTGTTTCCTTCAGATAAATACCCAGAAGTGAAATTGCTGGATCATA